CTGGGTTCGTGCGCTTCTGGAGGCTCCGAGTTGATGCTGCCGGTTCCTCTCGCTTCGCCTTGGACAGGTTTTGCGTCAGCGAAGACAGCTCGCTCGCCGTGATGGGAATGACAGTCCCGTGTCGAGGACTCGATGGAAGGTTGAACGAGCTCGAGACTTTCCAGGCCGGGCTCGCAATGTCGTCGGTCTCGAGGGGGATATAGCCTCGTCCGGTGTATTCATCCACGAACAAGTAAAATTTCTCGCCATGGATATCGCCTGGGTTCGACTTGAACGCTGTAGGTCCCTCAACGGCGCTGGTGCCAGCATTCTTGCCAATGCACGTCGCGATGATGGTCCACGAGTCGAGAGTCGCGCGGAGCGACGACGACTTTTCTTGGATAATGTCGCTGCATCCCGTGCCGCTGGCACCCTCATCCTTGGTGAACCGGTAGTAGACGTCGTCGGACTTGATGACTGTCGAGTCTATGCGTGACATGCCCGCGTCTTGCCAGATGACGGGCTCGCTGAATGTGATGAAGTCGCGAGTTGTGACGTATAGCATGCGGTGGTAAGTCGTGCCAGTGTGCGCCGTGTCGGATTCATCGTAGAGGGATGAGGCCCAGAAAACAATGTATGCACCCAGATCGTCGTCGTAGTAGGCTTCAGGCGCCCATGTATTTCCAGCGGTGGCAGGCGAGACGAGGACATGGCGCTGGGCGGACCAGGTGACGAGATCATGAGACTCCCACACCTCAAGATAGCGACTTCCTGTGCGAACTGAGGCGCCCCAAGACGTTCCGCTGCCAATTGATAGGTCCGTGGCCAAAAGATAGAAGGTGTCGCCTTCGGGAGATCGAATGATGAATGGATCTCTCAGGCCTTTAGTCCCCTTGGAGGAAGCAATGACGGGTTGGCCACCATTCAACTCGGTCCAGTCCAGAGCATCGTTGCCTTGGCTGGCCGCAAAGTAAATCTTCTCTCCTGCAAGCGTGTTGCCTGTGAAATATGCGAAAGCATAGCCTTCAAACGCATCTAGCGTAACGGCGGCCTTGACACTGGCCGTGATCTCCCGCGTGCGGGTAACATTATCTTGGGTGATGGAAGCCGTCAGAGTGACTTCTGCATCTGTTGACTGTCGAGCAACGACACCGTCTGCAGAGATGATGGAAGAATCCGAGGTCTCCCAGGTAATCTCCAGGCCATCGGATGCGGTCTCGGGCAGGAACAGGTTGCCTCTGACGTCTTCAATGTTGTTCACAGTGACATCTGCTAGAGCTGCGTCGAGGAGCGCCGAGGTGGATTGGGCCACGACGAGGCGCAGCCCGAGCCCAATATAGCTGATCCACAGTGATCGCATCGTGAAGAATTATCAGTAGGTCCTACTTCGCAAGCTCGACTTCAACGCGGAGTAAGAAGGTCATTATATAGTCGCCCATTTGTTCCGTCCATCACGCGGCGTATAGTAATACAAGTCAACATTAAGACAATATCCCGTTCGGCGCAGCAAAGCCCGAGAGTCCCAAAACGGGACATTAAGTTCATGGAACGCCGATCACTTCACCAGTCCACGACTCATGATGCCACGCGAGTGGGCCTCTTTGCTTTGCGCTCGAATGAGCGATGATGATGTTCGTCCCCCACATCCCCCGCCTTCCCCGACGTCGTATTGTTCCCCAGATATGGCGCGGACTAGCTTCCAGGTTGAGAAGACCGAGCGCAACTACTACTCGCGATCCAATCACGATACTATTGCTGGCTGATCAAGTGTCTGCCGAGGCCCCATCGCCCGTGTTGCCAGCGGGGCTATCAGGAGATGAAGTATGCTTAAAGACGTGCCCGGCCCGAAACGGGCCGTGAGTAAGTCATGTCCACCAATCACTTGGAACTAGCCAAGAAAAGCATACGCGATAGACTACTATGTCTCGGTATTTTGTGGCTAGGAAAAGGCAATGGACGAAGTGTGGCCTGAACCATTGCAATTGCGGCATTTAACTGAAACGATCCTGGCGACTCGGGCTAAATCGACGGGTAAATGGTAGAATGCCCACCTATGCGATTTCGCAAACCTATTCCATTTCAACTTTCAAGCTTAAGTTTCTTTATCGGTAGGCAAACGCTCCTTCCAAACGAGTCACGTTATGAAACCTGATCCTGGATCACGGATGTATGCGAGTAGATGCACGTAATTCGCTGCGTTATAAACGGTATTATCACCGAAGTTTCGTAGATACCATACCGCAACAGCGGTTAGGAACAACCTCACTGAAAGCTAGTGGGTTGTCTCGAAACTTCACCGTGGAAGCATTGGGGTTTTGAGAGGCTTGGATTGTGAAGAAAAATGTGTTTATTTCGGCCTTGTGGTAGCAGCAACACACCCTTGATGGAGCAGACAGCTAGATAGAAGAAGTCCCAAAACTTCACTGGATATTATATGTTGAACATGACAGTGAAAAGCCCCCGTCTTGAAAAACAGTATCAGTCACTTTTGCTACGAAAAGCGACAGAATAAGACTTCTTTCCACGTGGCGTCATGGGTTCACCACTATCCTATTATTATGAGGGAATAAACGCCAACCTCAAATTCTGGAATACAAGAGTGGGTCTCTAGTACAAGTTAAGCCTTGATCGTGTTTAGACTCGATGCATCAAAGCGTGACCAACCAGTATTGAGAAAATTTCCACAATAGTTCTTTCGATTGGGTGCAATGTTTCGGTGAAGAGCTGTCTTTCTTGATTGATCGAGCTAAATTCTGGCGGGATCCTAATACTTTTGCCATAGGTTTTATGAAGCTCCTTGTATTAGCAAATAAAGAGATGGCAGTTTTGGTAAAGCTTTACTTACGGTGAAGGCCGAAGGGGGTCGAGGGCTTTCATTCATAGTATTGACACCGTGTATCCTCTCCCCGTTGAGCGAGTTGATGGGAATATGGTGGCTTTCAAAATCTTCTGGTGGTTCGAGACCTGGTGGTTGACCAAGCATCATAGATTGGATGCCATCTTCAGGGGTATTATAGTGAAACTCGATACGCCAGAAAGCAGCTTGGTCAGCGGGAAGGGCCGAAGATTGACTGTCGATCATGAGAACTTCAACGTGGGTGAGATACGGAAAGAGTTGCCCATTACTCCCACCCAATAAACAAATTTGGTGGGGAATGTTGTCCAAACGCTTCAAAAGACGCTGGTCTCATACGCCCAAGAGTCGCAGGGTAGGTCAGGATACCAGACGGCAGACTCTCCAGGTTTAGCCTCGTTCTCATCCTTCATTTTCGTGTTCTGACTGTCACGATAAGGACCGCGAACAGGAACGGACACTATCTTCAGAGCCTGGATTGGTCAACAATTGCTTGTACGTCGATGTGACAATGTCGAAAATACTGACGTCAAAGACTCATTTGATGGCCTGGACGATCTCAACCCCGCCCTATGCAAGAGATGGGGTTTTTTGCAGCCGTCTCATGATCTCCAACCCAGCAAGATTGCGCACCTTGCTTAGATAGTAGGCAAAGCCCGCGGATACCTCAAGCATCCATTGCGACATGAAACCCCACAAACGAGTGAGGCACCTCCGCGCAGTCATCCCAGACAATGGCAAATTTGCGTTCAAGATGGTGATATCCAAGCTGGATAGTTGCTTCGTTATCTTTTGTAAGTCGAAGACCAGAAAGATAGGTATTGCCATCAACAGTCACGAGTGATACCCAGATCGTGTTTGTGGGCCCTGTGATTGTGACTTTTGCTTTATTCAACGGCCTTGAGCCCCCCAAGAATGTAAATGTTGTTGCAGGGCAAATCTTCGACTACGCGGTGTGCCAGCCTGGATCCTCATATTCCGCGTCGGGGTTGAGAAACGACTTACAGGGAGATCCGTGGCAGACAGGAGACTCTAATCCCAGAGCAACCAAGTCTCTCAGTTGGCAAGCCAAAGGCCAGGCGCGATGTCTGTTTCTCAAGCATGGGTCACTTATGTGAGCCCGAAATTTGTCATACCATGGTCCATATCCATCTGCTGGTGTTAACCAACTTGCCAGCTCAAACACGCTCGAATTCGTGGCCAGGCCAAAATCTTGAAGGCTAAAATCTTTCTAGTAGACCTATATTGGCCATCGTCTTAGAAGCTAGTCGAAGATTTGCCGCGTCGCTTGATTCTGTTCGAACTCGGATATCGACAAGCAGCTTGGGGGGCAGGAGTCGGACTGGATCGTTGCTGGAGGAGGCTGGAGGAGGCTGGAGGAGGCTGGAGGCTTGAGTTGTTGACGAGTGTTCTGGCTTGGAGTTGAGTCGCAATCTAGACCAGAAGACCCTGTGTAAGAGGAGATCAACATGGTAAAAATCATAGGTTCATAAAAGTAGCAACTGTCTGTCACCTGACGCCCCAGTAGCATCGCTTCCTCGCCGGGATACATGTTCTTCATAGCACCCCAGCAGCGAATGAGACCGTTGTAGTCATGGCCACAGTGAAGAAGACCATGTTGTATGACCTGCGATCTACAGATATCGAACAGAACTTACCCTGGACTTCGGTTTCGGCGGCCGGTACCTAAATCAGCAGACAAGGCTGTCCAGCATAGATTATGAAGCGCAAACCACCAGAGCCGCCGAAAGCTAAGGGAAGGAATTCGAGGATTTGAAGGATTCGACTGGCGAAAGCGTGACTTTAGAAGTCTAATCCACACCCAGTTTTCATCTACGATGGGCTTGGGCACGTCTATAACGTTGGACTGAAAAATGACTCGGATCACGTGTAGCGGGGTTCGTCATTACTGTAAGATATCAGCTTGATAATACGGACGACTAGCTTTTACCCAGTGGCTGAAGTATCAACTCTTGAAAGTGCCAAAATCACAGAAGAAAACCAGTACTTTTTGCCGCCATGCCACTGATGCCAGTAACACGCTCAGCAGCCTCAATGGAGCAGACAGAAACTTATCCAGACTGGTTTCTATTACGTTATGCTCAGTTACGTAAATATCTAACGATAGGTACAGAACTAATCGTATTAACAAATTTTGACAAAAAGCTGAGGGATGCCGGACTTGAACCGACAACCTTGAGGAATTTCAGACTTATTTGTCGCTGGAATCTCACACGCTAGCCAATTGCGCCAATCCCCCATTTGATGTTCATTGGCGTTTCTATTTGAGAAGATTAGGAGCGGATGCCATGATGCACCAGTGATGGGTTTGAAACATTATCTGAAGCACACACTCCAATACAGCAGGGTAATCTCATGCTCTTCTCTCATCTAGAAACTCATCGGTGGAGGTAAAGCTTTCATTTTGCTGCCCGTTCTATCAATGGCGTCGGTGCTAAAACAGGAAAAAATAAATCCCAGTTTTCTTCACGGTTTGAGCATTTAAAAAAAACCCAGTGCTTCCACAGTTGGCGGAGGCGATGCACGAGAAAAGGTCCAGGGAATTCAATGGCATACAGTCGAGCCCTGGTAGACTCCGTGTATGGAGTCTAGGGTTGTACACGTCCACTTGCTTGCAGAAGATCCTCACCCCTGCTAGTTCGCCACCCGTTGGAGACCTTGAAAAGGTCACAACATCCTTCGACAGCCCATGTCCACTTTGCCACAAACTGTGGAGTAACCTCCCAACTCTCCTTCAGATAAGGCTCTCCCCAGAGAATGAGGCCGTGCCCATTGTATGTGCGTTGGCTCCGCCGGTTCATCCGTAGGCTTGTTATCGGCAATGACCCTTCCTGGCCTGGGTCGCTCGGCATCAGACTGACCAAGTCTCCGACAAGATCTCGGAGAAATCTTTTATGGTCGAACATGTATTGTCGCCGAATGAGATTATCTCGGAGTTCTGGAAAAGGGAGTATGTCCATCCAGCTGGGGTGTGGAGAGTTCATCTGAAGCTGTGTTGGCGAAAGACTGGCTGGTATTGTACGGTCGGTAGTTCGAATCACTACAATATCACATCCTACTGCGAGATCAGGAGGAAGTGGGGGGTCGTGGATGGCCATGATGAAACTTGCCATCAGCCTCAGTATTGTTTTGTTCTCCATGAAACCTCGGCATACGTTGTGGGTTATTAGATGGATTAGGGCGTGATCAGCTGGTAGGGGAGGCTCGACATTACGAGTCGATTCAGGTTGTAGGACAGGAGGTGCCCTACTTGGTGTGACAGAGACCTGGGTTGGAGATTGTAATGTCGGACGGTCTGCGTGACGAAGAGCCTCTCTATCGTCGGCAACGTGTTCTGAACTGTCGATGAAGCGCGGTGAGGTTTGGATCCAAGGACCAGCCTCTTCCCCAAGTCGCCAACGATCGACTCGAAATGGCTTGGCACTACTGTTGTCTTTGTCCTTGTTGACGCGTTGCCCTGGTGCGGTGAGCTACAAATACAGCTTACAGGGGTCTTCGGGCTTACTGCGCGCTCTTTGATTCAATCGGTTCTGCAGCCTTTTCCGGTCTTTCCGGTCTTCGGCCGTGAGAATTTGGGTGGCACTGAGCATCTTCTAGGCTGGCAAGATTTTTGATGGTGAGGCATGAAGCATGTATGATGCATCAGGGCAAGTCCGGGAATGTGAAATAGGGAAATTCTGTCATCCGTTTAAAGACTGCTGGGGAGCTAAGCCGGAAGAGGCGAAAAGGGTCAGCCAGCTAGCAAGGGTTGCGAGTCATGGTAACCCCCGGCGCTACGACCGAAGGGGCAAAAAGGGTCAGCCGCGATGCTTCGATAGTTTCCACCGGAGACATCGACTCCCCGAGGTTGGGCGGACAATGAGCGGACTTTGGAGACTCACTGACAAAGAAGTTGGCATTGTTGACGGAGTTATGGACGGAATTATAGAATAGAGGAGTCTTCGTGGTCGAACGGAGGTCACGATAGATCTCCCAGCCAAGTATAAGAGACTCGAGGACTCAGGTTTCGTAGTTTATACGCTCATCTTTCGTTTTAATCACCTTCTAGCCTCAAATCTCACAAAAATTGTTACGAATCATGTCTCGCTACGCAACTGCCCACGCCAAGCCTCAAGGTCCCGGAGACGCCAGACCTACCGCCTTGCAGATCATCCAAGATGAAGCCGCTGAGAACACACTCCAAGGCAAAGTCATCGTCATCACCGGCACCTCGTCTGGAATCGGAATCGAAACAGTTCGCGCCCTCTCGGCCACAGGAGCAAAGCTTTTCCTGACCGCTAGAGACCTCGCTAAGGCGAAGGCGGCCTTGGTGGACATTTTTGATCCCAGTCGCATGGAGCTCGTTGAGATGGACCAAAATTCCCTGGAAAGCGTTCGTTCGGCAGCTTCCCAGATCTTATCCAAGACAGACAAGATCAACATCTTGGTCAATAACGCTGGAATCATGGCGGTCCAGACTCTTCAGTTCACCAAGGATGGCCACGAGTTACAGTTTGGAACTAATCACTTATCCCATTTTCTGTTCTTCGAGCTATTGAAACCGGCGCTCTTAGCAGCCGTAACGCCGGAATTCCACTCCCGAGTCGTCGTGCTTGCCTCTACTGCTCACTCAATGAGCGGAATCAACGCCTCAGACAACTATAACTTCCAGAAGGGCGGATATCAACCATGGCTTGCCTACGGCCAGTCCAAAACTGCCAACATCTACATGGCAAACGAGATAGAGCGGAAATACGGGTCCCAGGGCCTCCACGCTACCAGCCTGCATCCTGGTGGCATCATGACCGGTCTCTCGAAGTTTATCCCAGACGCCGAGTTGGCGGCTTACGACAACGACGACATCCGGAAGAACATGAAGAGCCCTGAGCAGGGCGCTGCGACAACTATCTGGGCGGCCATTGGCAAACAGTGGGAGGGAAATGGAGGGAAGTATCTGTCCGATTGCGCAGAGGCAGAGCCTATTAAGGACGGGGATTCCCCGTTCGGCTCTGGATACGCCAAGCATGCGTATGATCCTGAGAGTGAGGGTCGGCTTTGGGAGGACTCGCTCAAACTTGTTGGGGCGTCTTGAGCTGCATGGGCAGTTGCTATGGCCGGACCTCTAGTTGTTCGCAGCAAGTCTCTTGGCTTGTGATATTAAATAGAGTTCATGCATCTCTAGAGCTTCCTAGGTATCTCCTATAAAGCATGCAATGCAAAGTGTTCAAGTGGAGATGTGATCGTTGTAAGCCTTGCGCATGAAACCCACATGAAATGGATGCATAGCTAGAATCCCCGGGTAAGTATATATACTCCAGTCTTTGACCCATTCTTCCTGTCTTTCTCCTTTTTCATAGTCTTTTAGCCAGAAATCCGCAGGAGGAAGATTTCAGGGAATTCGAAATTGCCCTGGAAATAATATTGGGACGGGAAGGACATTTCTAGTCTCTTCTCGTCTTCTTAAATCACTTTTGATAAAACAAATGCTTTTCCCAGGACCGTCCTTCTAGTCAGCCTTTTAAACTCCAATATGATAAATCACCTTTCGATGCTTCCTTGATCCAAGCATTAAATTACATGTAAGCCGCACCACCACAGCCTCCCCTCCCCATTGTGCCTGAGCCTGGGAAACATCAGCTGCTATCGGCGGCAGCTCACGTCCTCGGCCCGTGGGCCACAGCATGAACTTGATCTCGGCGAGGAAACGCAGATAGCTTCCGATATCCTCGCGGGTGATGCCCTCGCCGGCGCTGTCGTCGACGCCGGTCCAGCGGTCGCCATCAGCCTTGAGCACGGCGATGGCATTGCGGTCGTCCAGCTCCGGTGCTCGCGTGGTCGACGGCAGGTCCGACGTGGCCAAGTGGAATAATGGCATCAGGGCGCTCTGCTCCTGGTCCTTCTTAACGGACCCAGCCGAGACGAACTCCTCGAGCTAGGTCTTCCACTCTTTGTAGTCGACCTCGGGGTCGTGGTAGCCGTAGTAGCTCAGCGCCGAGAGGAACTCATTCATGCGCAGTCGCGGGTGTGCTGTGACCTGGACGACGTTGACCCCGGGGAGGGGTTGAGGACCGCGGCTACCACGACCCAGGATACGTGTTCCACGGGTACGGTATTCACGGAGTTGACGATGCGTGGCCTTGCTCCTAGTTGGACGCAGCCCTTGCAGAACCGGATGAGAAAGTCGTCCGTGTTCGAAACGCCGCCGTTGCGGCTGCCGAGGATGTATCCGGGACGGACAACAGCGCCCCGAAGCCCCCGCTTGCCAGCTTCTCGTACGAGCCGCTCAGACACCTTCGAAGAATTAGCTTCATAGATCATAACCCTCTCGGTATAAGTCAACATACCCATTTGGTTTGGCCATAGCCAGTGCCGAGGCCAACACGGCTGCCCTGCATGTCTTCAGCCTCGAGCAAGGCTCCGCGCCCAGTTGCGGCGTTGTGAGGGTATCGATGGCAGATATTGATATTGAAAGAAGTAAGTGTATCGATACCATATATTATATAATATGAAGGGAGCAAGAAAGAGGTGAGAAGTGAGGTCAGGGAGTAAGTCGATGAGAAAAGAGCATGTATGACTGTGACACCATCAACTTCTACCCCTCCACGCTCCGGTATTCGGGAGGGTCGAGGTTTTGTGCGGCTCCACTCAGGGACAGAATGGTTCGTTCGATTAGAACAAACAGATGGCGCACCCTGTCAACACTTTGGAGGCACCTCAAGCAACTGATTGCCCCTTCATCATGAAGCAAGCCCCCTCACCAAGCTCTTTTCCCCACGCATCGCCAAGGTGACCAACTTCTGAAGACGGTCCCATCATTCGGTTGATTCGCAGCCTACTCGGAGTTTACGCCAAGAAGAGGAAGAAGTGGCCTTGTCATGCCGACGGCTGCGGTCGTATTTTCAAGATTGCTATGCCACATAACAGTAAAACGCCCCCGATGTAAAGACTCTAAAGTGTCGTGTCAAGGGATGTGACGACATCTTCAGGTCTGAGGGTGACCTGAAAACACACTTTCTCGAAGGGCACCCTGAGACAGTGGTTCACTGTCGTGTTAACCACTGCTCGAGAATATTCCTAGTTCGGACTGGCGAGTCTCCTTGCTCGGAGCTAAGGTTCTTAGATCTCGAGTTCATCTCCTCGACGGGGAGGGCCTTTGAGATTGGCATGTGCAATGCTCAAGGCGAAATTAGTTTGGATTATCCGGCCAATTATAAGCCCGGAACATACACAGACATCACCAGCAACCGAGGCCCCAAAAAT